CTGGACCAAATCAGGGCTAATACACCAACAAATACTGGACCAAGCCAGGGCTAACACACCAACAAATACTGGACCAAATCAGGGCTAATACACCAACAAATACTGGACCAAGCCAGGGCTAACACACCAACAAATACTGGACCAAATCAGGGCTAATACACCAACAAATACTGGACCAAGCCAGGGCTAACACACCAACAAATACTGGACCAAACCAGGGCTAATACACCACCAAATACTGGACCAAACCAGGTCTAACACACCACAGAATACTGGACCAAACCAGGGCTAAGACACCACCAAATACTGGACCAAACCAGGGCTAAGACACCACCAAATACTGGACCAAACCAGGGCTAATACACCACAGAATATTGGACCAAACCAGGGCTAATACACCAACAAATACTGGACCAAACCAGGGCTAAAACACCACAGAATATTGGACCAAACCAGGGCTAATACACCAACAAATACTGGACCAAACCAGGGCTAAAACACCACAGAATATTGGACCAAACCAGGGCTAAGACATCACCAAATACTGGACCAAACCAGGGCTAACACACCACAGAATATTGGACGAAACCAGGGCTAATACACCACCAAATACTGGACCAAACCAGGGATAAAACATCACTGAATATTGGACTAAAATAAGAATAAAACCACTAAATATTGGACCAAACCAGGGATAATACACCACCAAATACTGGATCAATTTGGGGCTAAAATGCCTCAAAATATTGGACCAAACCATGACTAAAACATGACCCAATACTGGACCAAACCAGGGCTAATACACCACGAAATACTGGACCAAACCAGGGCTAACACACCAACAAATACTGGATCAATTTGGAGCTAAAATGCCTCAAAATATTGGACCAAACCATGACTAAAACATGACCCCATACTGGACCGAACCAGGGCTAATACACCAACAAATATTGGACCAAACCAGGGCTAAAACACCACCAAATATTGTACTAAAATAAGGGTTCAAACACCACCAAATATTGGACTAAACCAGGGCTAAAGACAAATGTTGTACTACGGCTTAAACACCACTGAATACTGGACTAAACCAGGGATAAAATATGAGACAATATTAGTCCAAACCAGGGCCAGAACACCAGTGAAGTTTTTACATAAGTGTAGCTACAATGCCAGTGAAACAGGTCAAAGCATCATTGAATCCACGTCCAAACTATAGCTCAAGCAAATACTGGATTGACCCCTATTAGACACAAAGTGGACTGCAATAGGACAAACGTCCTTCTGCTAATTTATTTATTTTTGTTAATGTCTGAGCGTTGAGAACTTGATGAGTTGATGAATTATATCGAGGCTTCCAGCTGTTTGTTTTTGTCCGCTTTCTGCCCTCTAGTGTTGAAAAATCACTTCATGCAGCTTTAACTGCTTTCAGCGAGGTCAGTCAGTATGAAAATATTCTGTGTGCGACTGTTTGCTGTGTCAGCACTCAGGGACATGAATAGAGCCACTCAGGCCGGAGGAACAGACTACACCTTATACCAACACCAGGTGTGTTTTCAGTCAGGCCGTCAGCTGAAGTCAACATGGAGGAGAGGAGAGAGGAGAGGAGTGGAGAGGAAGAGAGCGGAGGAGGATAAGGAGGTGTAATAGCAGTAAATCCATGAAAACATTTTCTCTTCTCTCTCATGGAAACTGCAGCTGAGAAAACACTGCTGGAAATTAGTAGGCAGGAACTACTGGAAGCACGCCTACACACACACTCTGAACATACCAACACACACATACTGGCTGTGTTTCATGCTGCTGCTCTGTTTTGTTAAACAAACTTTACTCCCATCAGGGAGAAACACTGAAGGTCTAAAGGTTCAACTCCTCTCCTCTTTTAGCTTGATACTCCATCTGTATTTTGCAGGTCAGTTTCAGACTAATTTTAGATTTATTTTACATCAAGTTTTTGCACCAGCTCCTCAAAAGTTCAGACTTAGCCTGCTCCTAAAGTGGAGGTTTATGCACCACTAAATTGAAATGGGTCGCACCACATGGAGGTGTGCTGTTTACCCAGTAAGTGCCGGGGTTAACTGTCGCAGAGCAAACTGAACCGACCTACAAAGTGGACGTTAGTTTGCTAAAATATCTCCTGTTTAGATTGAAGGTTGTTTGGACTATGATTGACATGTGTGACCAGACACTTGATAAAATGCTGTTTAATTATGGTGTTAATGGACCCCTTTGTCTTCAGAACTGCCTTAATTCTTGGTGCCACAGATTCAACAAGGTGCTGGAAACATTCCTCAGAGATGTTGGTCCATATTGTCATGATGACATCACACAGTTGATCCATGATGAGAATCTCCCGTTCCAGCACATCCCAAAGGTGCTCTATTGGACTGTTATCTGGTGACTGTGGAGGCCATTGGAGTACAGTGAACTCATTGTCATGTTTGAGATGATGTGAGCTTTGTGACATGGTGCGTTATCCTGCTGGAAGTAGCCATCAGAAGATGGGTACACTGTGGTCATAAAGGGATGGACACGCTCAGCAACAATACTCAGGTAGGCTGTGGTGTTTAAACCATGCTCAGTTGGTACTAAGAAAATCTCCCCCACACCATTACACCACCAGCAGCAGCCTGAAGCGTTGATACAAGGCAGGATGGATCCATGCTTCCATCTGAATGTGGTTTTTCCAATCTTCTATTGTCCAGTTTTGGTGAGAAAACCGTGTGAATTGTAGCCTCAGTTTCCTGTTGTTAGCTGACAGGAGTGGCACCTGGTGTGGTCTTCTGCTGCTGTAGCCCATCTGCTTCAAGGTTGGACAAGGTGTTGTTGCTTCAGAGATGCTCTTCTGCACACCTTGGTTGGAACCAGTGCTTATTTGACTTCCTGTTGCCTTTCTATCATCTTGAACCAGTCTGGCCATTCTCCTCTGACCTCTGGCATCAACAAGGCATTTTGGCTCACTGGATATTTTCTCTTTTTGGGACCATCCTCTGTAAACCCTAGAGATGGTTGTGCTGAAAATCCCAGTAAATACTCAGACCAGCCTGTCTGGCACCAACAACCATGCCACTTGAGCAGGTCGTCTTCACCATGTCTACGTGCTTGAATACAATGAGTTGCTTTCACGTGATTGGCTGATTAGCTATTTGCGTTAATGAGCAGTTGAACAAGTGTACCTAACAGTCTTTTGGAAGATATACCACAACTTTTGATGCTACAGTGACTTCTCATTTTGATTGGATGATGCCACAGATGTTTCTTTGCAACCAAGTTAGTACATCACCAACTGGAAAATATCAAGTTGTTACTAAGAACTAAGAAGGACTTAAACTCAGCAGTGGATCATTTACACAAAGCTGATGTGGTTGTGGGATGGATGAAAAAATAAACTTTGTTAGTCCTGACGCAAAAACCTGAGGGTGCGTACCATTTCTATACAAGCTCACTGTTGTGGCAGTTCAACTTTGGACCCAAAATGCAAACACAACCAGGAAACGGGGAATGGTTAAAGGCAGTTTATTGTAGTTTGAAGAAGTGGAGCTGAAGGATTGAGTGAAATAATGGCTGAGGTTGGCAGGGAATGGTGAAGCAGGATTGAACAGTCCAAATCTGGAGGCACAAGACAAGAACAAGGCTAGATGTGGTGGGTTATGCTTGAAGCTGGTGTGGTGAACCTGAGACACAGGACACTGTGACTTGATGTCCAAAAGTACAAAAAGACAGTGTGTGAAAAAACTTGAAGCTGACCTAGATGTCTGTATCGTAGAGGAGACTAAGCGGACTGGATGTTTGAGCCGGGGTTTATACTGCAGTGGATTGCTTGTGGATGTGATTCAGGTGTGCAGGCTCAGCAGCTGCTGGCACTCAGGAGGATTGGCAGGAGGCCATGCCCAGCAAACACAGAGACAAACACAAGGGAGAGGCAAAGCTGAAACTCTAACACTTACAGCCAATAATGATCTATAAATAATAACAATACAAATAGATAAATCAAAACTAAATACCTGTGTCTAATCAAGTTTTTAATTATAAGATAACATAAGGCCAGCAGTAGGCAGATGAAGCCTGGCTTGTTTGTGTTACTGCTGACTTGGAAACCTCTGTTGTTTCCCCTGTATTTTGTGGTGAAGGTGGAAATGATGAATTCTGATTCAAACAGTTTTGTTTTGTTCAGTTCAAAGTTTTGGAGTCGTCATGTGTTGCCTCTTTTGCTAAGCTAAGCAACTGCATCACTGTTCAAATGCCCCTCGTCAGTGATCGAACATATCTGCACACACACCGATCAGCCAAATCATTCAAACCACTGACAGGTGAAGTGAATAACTTTGATTATTTTGTTCCAACTCAAACACCGTTGCAGATCAAGTAGTACTCCCCAGTGGCAGTGGACAAAAGCAGCATGCCACACTACAAAAACTGTTTATAAATGGCCTGAGGAGCGTGACAAAAAGCTCAAGGTGTCGACCTGGCTTCTAAATTTCTCAGGTCCCAATCTGCTCAAGGATTCTTGTGATGTGCCGTTACCCCAGATGTACCCCTAATCCAAGGTGGGGCCTCCTTGGATCGGACTTGGCTCTGACCTGTCGAGGCATGGACACAGGATCTCTGGGAGTGTCCTGCGGTGTCTGGTACCAGTGTGTTGGCGGCAGATCCAGTTAGTCCAGTGGGTTGTGAGGTGGGTTAATGGCACGTGCCACAGATGCTCATTCAGATTGGGATCTGGGGAATTTGGAGGCCAGGTTGACACTTTGAGGTCATGCTGCACTATTTATGAATTGAGTCGAGTGGTAAAGGTAGTGGAATGTGATTGTGAAGGTTCATCTGTCTCTGTTTGTCAGCCATGGGACTGACTCGTAATGTGTCCAGGTCTACCCTGACCTCTCGCACTATCTCTGCTAGGACTGGCTCCAGCCTCCAGGTATAGTTGACAGCTGCAGTCTAGTGTCAAAGGAAGTTAAACACAGTGAGACCTTCCAGACAAAAACACACTTCAACTTTGACCATGTTGTCTAAAATCATGTTTAATGGTTCAAACTGCTGTGAAGAGTCCAGAGTTCAAAATATCGGAGTGTTAGTATAGTTTACTGATAAAAGAAGTGTAGTACTGGGTGTTAGTGTGTTTACATGGACAGACTTTACTGTGTGATAATGACAGAGAGCACTGTTTATCATCAGAGGCTGTGTTCAGACAGCAGGTCTGCTCTGGGAGGAAGGACGAGCCACTTTCACAGCAGACATTTTGACAGGTCACAGTCGGAAAAGCTCAGGTGATGGGTTTGAATTCCATTCAGCTGCTTCAGTGTATCCTGGTGTCGTCCATGCTCACGGTCACACTGCCATAACTTACTGGAACACTTGACCATAACAGAGCTATTGTTAATAGTATTAATGCCTCATTTCCACCTCATGGTTCAGCTCGACTCGTCTCACTTTCGGTACCAGGGATCTTATTTGTAAAACAATGCGTATGATCCATACTAAAAATGTACGTACGAACAAAAGCCAAAGTCGTGGGCGCCAAAAATGATTCAACATTTTCTACAATCAGGGCTCCACCTCTCCATCTGTGTCGCCAATTTCCTGTCTCCAAAATGTTTGTAAGCATGGGTCAAAGTTTCTTCCATCATTGGCTATTTGAAAATAGCAGGTTTGTGCAGGATGTCCCGTGACGCATGATTCTCTCTGAGCAATCAGTGGTCTGCTTTATTTTAACTCCAACTTTTAGTATCAGCGCAGCTTGCTTGGAATCTCGATGAGGTGGTACCAAAGAAGTACTGGGTACTATCCACAAGTTTTGCTGATAAAAAACCCCAAAAGAGCGAGACAAGTTGAGTAGAGCCGTGCCATATCACGCAGTGGAAATGCAGCATTAGCTACACCTGTGCTTTTCCTACGATGACAAATCAAAATGTATGCTGTGAGAAAAGCCCTTAAAATACCCCCCAGTATCCAAAAGGAAATGTATCACATCAGTGAAACAACAAGTAGTGTGCATCAGTACTGATTTAAAAAACGCTTGCTACATGACCTAATCAACCAGACCTAACCAAAGAAGTAAAAGATGACAACTGATATAAGTGAATAGCAAAAACTCAATTGTGATTGAAATTTCTGATGAACCATTCATAATGAGACTAAAGATGGTGGAGAGTTTAATGACAGCTTGATAAACCTTTAGTGGCAACATCAACAAAGACAATCTTAAAACTGTATGTGTATAAATATGTAGTGTGCCATCCTGAATTAATAAAATACACATCCAGAAGATGATTAAAATTTTAAATTTGTCAGTAATTATTTTTCTTATTTTGTCCATAAATGGTAAAACACAGAAATAATTGAATTTAAAAATGGAATTTCAAATTTGTTAATAAATTGACCAATGTGTGTTCCATAGTTTCCATGTCACATTTAATTTTTTTCTTGCTTTAATTTCCATTTTGTGATCAATTTCATTTAAAGACGGCTCTCTTATTAATGCGTTGTGCTACACAGAATTTAAAAGAAGTCCAACCCACAGAGCAGCTGCAGGAATTCATGCCTTTTGAAACTGACCAACTTAATAGTTGATCCAAACCCAAAAAACATCCAGAGACACACTCAACACTCTTCCGTCAGAATAGTCATCTACATCTACATGTGTCTGGACAGTGTAATGCAATGTAATCCACCTGTTCTGTCATAAGGTTTACTTCTATGATGCATATAATGTTGGCGAGCACTGAGGTCATAGTTAGCGATGGTGTGTTATATTCACCTCTCATATAACGTAGGACTAATCCAGTACAACACAACCTTTAACTGTGACCTCATTAATAAACATATAATTGAATCTATACATTATCAACAAAAACTAAACATGAATTTCGTGAAGGTCGAGTTCATGGTTGAGCTGTTGGATTGAATTGCATTAGATTGTACAGGTGTACCTAATAAAGTGGCCACTGATCGTAGATATCCTGCTCAGCAGTTCTGAACATGAACATTTGTCGTTTTATGTTGTGGTGTCACATCGAGACCAGAGGAGGCGCTGGATCCAACCATAGTGAAGAGGGGAGCAGCTGATATTGCTCATGTTGCCCTGGTTGCCTTAGTTGCCGTTGCTTGAGTCGCTCTTGTTGCTGTCTGAACACAGCGTGAATATCATTCTTTCCTTTTCTGCAGAGTTCAGTAAAGTTTAGGTCGTGGCTACACGTCTATCACAGTCCAAAATGTCCAAGTCCAAATGGCTTTAAATGTCCTCCATCACATCACCGTGGTAACGTGGCCAACATCCAGGATTATTACGAAATGTGACCATGGAGAGGAGCCGTGGCGCCAACATGGCCGCCACTTAAAAGAATTTTTCTTTTTCAAACAAAGTGTCATGTACATACTGCATGGCTGTGCGTAGGGTTTAGTACTACAGCTTTGAAGCTCCACCCCCTCTCTTGTCTTCATTGAGTGCTTTAGGTGTATACACACACACACACACACACACACACACACACACACGCATACATACAAACACACGCACACATGCACACGCTCACAAACACACACACACACACTAAAACGCACACTAAATAATGTTTGTGCAAAGAAAATAAAAGACAAAACTCAGACTGCGAACAGACAGTCTGACAGATGTAGAGATGAACTACATTCAGCTACAACAGCCTGTGATAGTGCAATATCTACACACACATACACACACAATCATCCACACAGTCACACACACGCACACGGTCATCCACACGATCACACACACACACACCACACACACAGTCAGATCTCAGTGGCGACTCCGGCGCTGAGTTGCTTGGCCTTTCCCCTGCAGGACGTCATCCCATCTCTGCACAGAAAGACAGACAGGAAGTGAAATGAATGATCGGTCACTGCACACAATTACTCATGTTCCTGATGAGGTCTGTTGCTATGGTTTTTATCAGGATTTCAGCCTCTGTATCCTCAGATGTTAATAAACAAGTGTGAGTTACTTTGAAGGTGTTTTCACACTAAAGTACACCTTTTTTTACCAACATAGAAACAGTTCTGTTCTGGTTCCCGCACCTGATTTTGACCAAAAATAAACTGGTTTAGAACCTGAAAATTAGGTTTTTCTTCATCTAAAGTGTGAACCGTGACAACATCAGTGGGTGTATCATACTCTACAATAATGTGGAAACTGATGGAAATGTGGCCTGGTTCCTTCGACAGCACCAACGTTCTAAGAGTCCTGAACAGAGTTCATTTGTGGGAAAAAGGGCTAAAAGAGAAGCACATTTTATTCAGAGTCAACGAAAGGACACGAGTGCACAAGAATTTAATGCTAGCCAGTACAAACTGAAGGCCAAAACACATGAGGGGTGAACGTTGCGTGTCAAAAAATCTGCCCTTATTATTTTCAATGCACAACCCCACTTGACGTCCATTGGTGCTCCTAGACAAGTGGTTCCAAGTGTTCAACTTTTTATGTGATAAATGATATGTCAGGGCACGTTAATTGGAGTATGAACTGCTGTATGTAAACTGGTGTGTTAATGGAATATTTATTGTCATTAGCCATGTTAACAGCTTCATCTTTTATAGAATGTTGTCTTTTCACAATAAGAGCAACAACCAGAATATTTTGTGCATGTATGCAACGATGACTGCCAATTTTTAAGCTATGGGTGAATTTCAGACAGAGGTAGACAAAAACAACCTCTCATTTCTTGCTACATGTAGCTAGGTAATTAAGCTAATGTTAGCTCCATGACTCGGTTATACATTTTAGGAAGCTGTTAACAGTAGACAACTGAACAATGTTTACTGCAAAACTAACTCCTTCCAGTGTATCAAACTTCCAGTCGAACTTACATTAAGAATGTCCACCAGGCTGCAGTAGCACAGTTAACTTACAAAGCCTCCACCTGTGCTGCTGCAGGTGTGTTTATATAGAAATTCAGAGGAGACGCTGCTCTGAAACCATCAGTACCACTGTGTTTTGGATTAAAAAGGATCTGAATCTCACCTTGACCTTCTTGCCCAATTTGTCCCTCCACTTCTGAGCAATGGAGCCGTCGATCAGCAGCAACCTGCAACCACAAACACAGCGTGAGGTTTATTCACAGTCACACTGAATTCTTTTTACAGTAGAGGTGAGCCCAGCAGTAATTTTATGAAACATAATATCAGGCTTAGTAGAATTCAAAGAAACAAGTAGGGGTGCTACAATTAATCATAACATTTCACAATGTCAGGAAAAGACTAAACCATCTGAGTTTTTACAAGTTGGAAAAAGAAGGGACAAACAGCTGGATCAGTGAGCTGGATAACCACCAACTGGAGACCTGCTTTACCCAGAAGAGCCTGCATTGAGCTCAAGTTTGAAGATCTTATTGACTAGCTGGACCAGTTTCCTGGAGGAAATCTGATGTCAGTAACAATACTTTTACAATCTGTTATAACTCCATACTCATACCTGGACGTCTCCTCGTTCTCATAGCCCATAATGAGGAACTCCTCCCCGGGAGACAGAGGAGGACACAGGCAGGAGGAAGAGTAGTAGAGTGTATGCGTCTCCTTGGGAATGTTGACCAGAGAAGACTTGAGCACTTCCTTCACCTCCACCACCGCTGTGGGCTCCAGGCCGCGGTTCCTCACCTCCCTCACTCTCGCCCTGATCACTAAAAGAGAGAGTCATCAGCATACGTGGACACACTGGACTTGAAATCTCACTCATACGATTCAGTGCTTTCACACCTGCCCTGTTTGGTTCGGTTCAATCCAACTAAAGTTTATTTGCAGCCTAAGTGCGGTTCATTAGGGCAGGTGTGCATACTCGGGTACGCACCAAAACAACCAGATGGAGACCTTCTTGAAGAGGTAGGCCCCGATCACACAGAAAGTGTTTCAGCAGCTGGAGGCAGCTTTTTGTAATTGTTTTTAATGAGAATGAAGCTTTTCGCTTGCTGTTTTGCTACATGCCTCACGGTCTGCGCTCAAGACGCCTGGCGTTTTTGCCGAAGTGCTCTGAACTCCTCAAGTTAGAAAAACTTTGGAGTGGAAAAGTGCCCCACGTCATCTCCACTTTTTTTCCCATTGTCCATCGGATGATTTTAGAGGCGGGCCTTCTGTTGTGGTCACAACATCAAGTTTACAGTTGGAACCAGGTAAACCTTTATTGTTTTTCTCAGAAAATGCTCCCTTAATGACTTGAAACAGGTGGTGAGGAGAGCACAACAGAAGCTTCAAGAGCAACAGATCAACGAATTAGCATATTGCATGAGAATAAAGACAGCATCAATGCGGCAGTGCGAAACCAAAAGAGGTGGAAGCTGCAAACATGGAGGAGAAACCTGCACAGCCAGTAACAGTGTGGTCCAGCAGGTTGGATTCAACAGCAAAACCAGTGTTAATTAGCATAGCGAGAGCGCCAGCAGTCAGATTATAGAGACCACCATGACGTGCCACCATGCTTCACTGAACTCCTCTGCCTTAATTATATCTGAATATTTTGAAAGTGAGCTCTTGTTTTTAATGATGGCTGGAAAAAAAAATCTGAAAATCTTCCCCAAATGGATTCTGTGGCCAGAGGCATTAGTGAGCTCCAGAATTCCACATGGAAATCTCTGCTGCTGGATTTGCCAAATCATCTGGAAAAGCCTTTCTGGGCTTTTAGCTTTAGTATGTCTAATTTAATCTAAGTAACCAAACGGCCTCGGCACCAAAATCTTTCCCTCGACATGAAGGAGAAAAACAAGTCAGAGAGAAAGAATCCGCTGAAGAGTTTCGTGATACTTAAAAGATTTTCAATACGGCAGTTTTTTGAAGTGAAGTAATGTGCATTTAGACTTTGATGTTTATCTCACATGACGATTGGCTGTCTGATGTTCGGACCACATTCTCACTTTAAAACCTTAAAGGGTTGATTTGGAAAAGTACCAACAACCTGATTTGAGCAGGCTGCCTGACAAATTACATCCCTACTCATAAACACATACATGTGAGGTTTCTAGTGATTTGTCTTATATATATTTGTCTTATTACAACAAACAATATGATATAAACCCTAAAAACCTGAACACTGCTGAGATCTCAGAGCTGCAGACTGACTTTTGATTCTCAGTGGGATTAGCAGGAATGGAAACACTTAATCATTAAGGGATGGATTCAATGCTCAGATCAATAACATGATTAGATCATCTCGTATAAAGATAGCTGACAAATCGTCAGCAGGTGTTGCGATATACAACTGAATAAAGTACAATGAACTTGTGTCTCATATTTGTGAAAACTTGAATATGTCCCAGATGACTCACCATAGTTGTAGTTGTTCCTCAGGTAGGTCTTCAAAGTCATTTTGACCGTCTTACACCTGCAGCGATCTACAGACACAGACGCAAACACAAAGAGGGTGATCAAATCATTTTAGAAGTACATCAGAAATAAAATGTGTTCAGGTTCCCCCTCCTTAAAAGTTCCAGATTGGATTTGGGACTTTGCGCTCACATCATATGTGACAAATGCCAGAGATGGGAAAGCCTCCCATGTTTAAGACTTGCAAGCTTTCCTGCTAACTTTAACTTACAACATTGCTGTTGTATTATTGTTGGTTGGATGTGCGAGGATTAAAAAAACAGCACTATACCTTAACATTGTATTTAATTCCCTTTAACAATGGAGTGTTCCTGAGGTATCGAAAAGCACAACTTGTCATTTTTACACTTGTGTTAGACACAGGTAAACAGACAGGTTACCTCTGTTTGGTCCTCTGCAGTGGAGGTTGTTGGAGTCCATTGGAAAGTCTGGACTGGATTCTGTCAGAGGATAAACCCAGAAAGTAAACTGGTTAAACTGGTTTCTAGACTGTGTTCAGATGCACATCAGCATGTTGGTGAGAAAAACATGATTTCCTGGAGCAGAACTGATGAAGTGCATTGTTCCCCTGTCAGTCGTGGAGATTCTGAGGTGGTTTGTTAGTTTTGCATCCAACCTGATCAACCTGATACCTAATCAAGCAGCGAACCAGCTAACTCTTAGGAAACCAGCTTGGTCAGAGAGATGGCCGAAGGTCAGCCTCACCTGGGTTACACCTGGCTGGGTCCTGGTAGTATGGATCTACAGAAATGCAGAGAGACACCGTCAGTGTCAGAAATCATGTACACAGAAGAACAAATATGAAACCACCTTGTGGTTTTGGCAAGTTCCCTTCCCGTCTTAACGTCCTTTAGAGGCTGATGTGGCCGTTGCAGCTACAATATGAAAGTGTAGCTGTTGTTAGACATCATCTTAAGGGTAGAGGAGTTTAAGTGTCTGCATACTTGGTTAAGATGCAAGATCTAAAGACTGCTGTGGTGAATTTGATATTACATTTCAATCCTCACAGACAGTCATGAGCTTTGGGTAGCGACCTCAAACTGTATATTTTGAATGCAATCGACGGAATGAGTTATCTTTAAAGGGTAGGGTCAAGAATGAACTTTTAGCTAGTGGCACACAAACTGAAAAAAAAATGCAAACCAATCTCAGTGCAAAAGAAAAGAAAAAAGAAAACGACATCATTTATTTTGTGTGCTAACGTAGATTTTTACTGGCATTTAGCGAGTGACGAGTGCTAATTTTGGACGCTATCATTAAATTTTTCTGTAGCTTGGAGGTGTTTTTTGTGTTTTTGAGTTTCAGGCGGGAAGAAATTCTTCGTAAGATGTCCCCGAACTCTGTTCACTGATTGGCTGCGGGTTTCCTCTGGCTGCAATTTGCTGCCACAAGTTTGAATATCCCCAACTTTTAGTTTGGCCACACTTCACCGCAGATTCAAACGGCTGCAGCTTGTTGAGCTCGGAGCAGCCTCAGCAGCTTTAGACAATGCAGCTTGCGGCAGGCCACACTTCGCCACTGCTGCTTGTGTTTTCAGCATCAGATATGCAGAGTCTTGACCTGTCCTCACCAGGTGAAAGATTACTTTCCATTTGGTTTGATTTTGTGTCTGCAGAGCTTTACTTCTGGCAGTGCACTCTGTGTCACAGCGTCTCCGAATGCAAGTGAAGGAGACAAACAGGTAAACTCTCTGTGGCTGCTTCAGATTTCTGTTCCACCCAGAGACAAACTTCTGAGCAGCAACTCTCAGCCTGAAGACCGTCCACTGAGTGATCCACCCTGGCTGAACCTCAGCAAATCAACAACTCATACCGAGGGAAAATCCCCAAACCCTGCTGAGCCGAGCCGAGCCGAGCCGGGGCCGCGCGGAGATACGCGGGTGTATCGTTATGGAGGTCAAGGGGATTGAGATGAGTTTTTTTTCAGGACTTGCTGGTCCAGGGCCTGTTTAAAGAAGCAGAGGACAGTGAGGGTTTTATTGAGTGTAAAACTAGTGGGCTGCCTGTATCAAGGAGCTCTTTGAGAAAGTCAGTGGGAGTGAAGTCAGAGGGGAAATGACTCACGCTATCTGTTCGAGAGGGAGCAGAAACAAACTGCTGAGAGCAGAAACATGATAGAAAACACCGATAGGGCTCAGTTAGGCAGGGAAAAGTGCTTCCTGATGGTCCGAGTTTTTCAGTGCGGAGAGTCAAATATTTTTTGTTCAGAAGCTGGCTCCACATTAAGACGTTTTAGATAAATTTATTAAGTAATATTAATATCCAGTCGGTCTCAACCACAACATGTCAACTCTGTAGCCCCCCTACATCCAAACTGTATAAGAATTATGGTTTAAAAATTTTGTTAAGCATTGAGCAGACTCTTAGCAACTTTGAAAAAAAAATGTAACTACTAAACTATAACTGCGGTGAAATTAATAAATATATAACTTTTTATCGACTCCCTCAGATCTTACCTCTGACATCCATCATGCATGCTATTCAAGAAAAAAAAACTGGGAGGTTGGCACTTTATATGGCTTAATAGTCAAGACTTTGAGATTTTAAAATCTTTTAAAAAAATAAAAATAATCTGAAAAAAAACATT